CCTTCGGGGGCTCCTCTCTGCACAGCCCCAAGCAGGCACAGGGCCCACAGGACACCCTGGGCCTCGGTGGTGGTGACAGTGGGAAGCCAGCAAGTGCACCTTGTCGAAATGCTGTTGGTGTCACTTTAACTCAACGAGAAGCCAGATCCTAGGCTGCCTCTCAATGCCGCAAGAGAGAAGGGTTGTTCTGCGGTGGCCACAATGCTCCCCCAAGAACCACTGAGCGAACCGCGCTAGCGTCCTATAGCAACCGATGGGGTCAAGGCACTGACCGCAGGCAGTGACCACCGGCTTACAAACCATGCAACTGTCTGAATAATGTTGCAAAGGACGCAGGATGACTACAAGACAAAGGACCTCTAGTTCTCCACAGAGAGAAAAGAAAAATATTAACTCGCGGCATTGGAAAAATTCTCACACTCCTTAAGGAAAGAAGTGGGGTTGCAGGGACACCGCCTCTGGTGACCTGGCGGGAGGGCCCGGGCTCTTCCAGAAAGGAGACACACTGCAGTGGTCGTGGGCTCAGGACCAGACTGCGGCCGAGCGCAGGGACCAGGGTGCTCCCTAGGCACAAACCCACGTGCACCTGAAGACCAAAGGGTGGGGGCTCCTTCCAGATGCTGGGTTCTCCTGGGAGGGGACAGCTCCACCAGGTGACAGCTCAGTGGGGCCAGGCAGGGGAGGAATGGGCTTCCCCTGGCCTTCTCACCGGCCTGCCCCAGGCCGTCTGCAGGCCAGTTCTCTGAAGGGAATTCAGGAGCCTCAGGACCACACACAAAGGTGTGCGGGCAGTGGAAGGCACCAGGGTGTCTGACTGATCCCTAGGTCCTCTCCCAGAGGTGAGCGCCTGTGGTTGTGGTGCCACTGAGCAGCCCTGAGGACCGAGGAGGCACGCACGGGACAGCTTGCTCAGAGCCATGCATCGGTTCTTCCTGTGTCTCCATTGAGCAGGTTTCCACCTCGAATACCTGGGGCTGGGGGAACAGAGACCCGGCCTCAGGAGTGGGCAGTACAGTAGGAAGAAAGCCCTGCACTGGGCACAGGGTAAGGAGGTGACCATGGGAAGAGCAGGGGAAGGCAGCAGAGATGGTGCATGTGGTGGCCCTGTGAGTGACAGCTGGGAAGAAGGGCCATGTGGTTGGAGTGGAAGGGAGGTTCGAGGGAGAAGGGTGTGAGGCGGGGCTCTGCCTGTGATAGGATGGTGGATTTCCTCCGTAGTGTGATGGGAAGCCTTAAAGCAGCGGTTCTCAACCTTTCACAGGAGTCGCCTAAGACCATCGGAAAACACATATTTTCGATGGTCTTAGGAACCGAGACACTGCTCCTCTATCGTCTCCAGGCCCACATGCAGATACGCCCACATACGCATACCCGGCAACCCCTGTGAAAGGGTCGTTCCACCCCCAAAGGGGTCGCAACCCACAGTTGGAGAACCGCGGCCTTAAAGGGTGTCGAGCAGGGGATGATAGTCTGATTTAAGTTCTAGGGCTGCTCACAGGGATGAAGTGATGTGGGTGACCCTGCTCTGGGCAGCTGTGAGGTGGCAAGAGCTGTTAGCAAGGGGCACCCTGGGTGTCAGCACAGGAGGTGCTGAGGCAGGAGCTGGCTCAGGCCGGTGTTCAGGGAGTAACTGCTGAGAAAACGGTGTGGTGGTGACATGCACCGTGGTCGGGAGTTTTGATCTCTCCCGTCTGGTTCCTTTTGAATCTGCATTCAGGAAAAGTTCCCTAAGAGGCTTGCCACATGCATCCATCCCGCTTTCTCATTTCCCCATGTGTCCCAGTTAATCCAATTTGGAAGGTATTTTTATAAGTACCAAGTGGGAGTTTAAAAGTATTTGTTTTGCAAGTAGATACCCAGTTCTCCGTCATCCTTCGCTGGATCCCCCACACTTCCTCACTGATGTATGAATTATAAAAGCGAACTGACAACAGGACTGAGGGCAGGGTGGCCAAGCGGCCTACAGAACTGCACCATCCGTTCAGTGCCTGCCACCACGGACGTCAGGGTGTCCCCGGCCTGCCACTCTGGCCTGCGGTTCTTCAGCGTCACCGATCACATCGCCTTGGGGCCAGAAAGCTCCCTTGAGGGTAGAGGTCCCCTCTGGCCGGCTGGAACTAAGCACCAGCCACTCTCTAGGGCTGGGGACGGTGGCCAAACGGATTGGAGTCTGGACCCCGCTTCAGTCACACCTGGCCACCTCCCAGGGACCCCCAGCCCAGGCCTGGGAAGCCCATGTGCTCTGGCTTCAGTGTCTCAGCGCTGGTTCCCAGCGCTGAGCTCGCAGCGGGCCAGGAAAGCTTGTTTAGGAGCCTCCCGTCCAGGCCGCCCCGCCTGGGCAGGCGTAGCCCAGCGGTTGCGTGTGCCAGGCAGGCAGGTGTGCAGGTGTCTGAGCGGGACAGGCGCGGCCGGCGGGAGGGATCATCGAGGCCCGGCCTGGCAGATGCTGGTGCAGGGCAGGTGCGGCGCGGGCAGCCTGGCTCCGGGAGGGGCGGGCGGGGCGGGCGGGCGCGGCCTGCAGCCGCCCGC